TCATGGTCCTGTCCTCATAGTGGGGTTGCCAGGTCACTGCTGAAGTCAACCCAGGTGTCTCGAGGGTGAAATGGTGACTAGCTTGCAAACATTAAATCCAACATTTTTCAATTTTGATAGATCTGGGCAGTTTCACCTGCTCTTAGTGTTTGTGCTAAGCTAGGATAAACACGACCCAGAGCTAGTGTGTGTGTGTGTACTGGAAGTGATACTAATATTTAGCCGAGTGGTCCTGGAGACTGGTGTGGGTGCTCTCTGCTCCTTTAAGCGTGGATGTGGTGGAACGGGTTCTGTCCCTGCTGTTTGCACTATGAAGGAGTGTGTTGATGACGTACACTCCTTGATCTACCAAAGGGAGCATGTTCATGGTGAAATGATTCTTATTGTTTTAGAGCAGATGAATGTCTTTATTCAGAGTTGTAGTCATGATTGGAACATTTTTTTAGACAGCGTGCTTTTTGTCTTTTATACTGCTGCTCTCATATTAAAACACGTTTTACACTTTCATAAAAATGACTCTTTGATCTTTTCATGTTTATCAGTTTTTTTTCCATTGAAAAACACTTTCAATTTTATCGATCCATAATTTAGTCACATACCTCGAGTAAGTCAACTTCTCTGAAGTCAGTTTGTGGAGCCGACTCAGCGTGTCCATGCCAACTACTCATTGGAATTAAAGAATTGGAAATGTTTTAATCAAACACTCAGCAGTTTATTTCGAGGACATTATACAAAACAAAAGAACTTGTAAGATGAAGTGTTATTCCATTTACAATACTTATGGTTGGAAAGACAAAGACAACAGTGATAGATTATTCAGCTCATGAAGACATGTTGGACGAGCAGCTGTGTCTCCACTGTGAGGGACACGTGTTGGACACTGAGGATACTAAACCCTGTCCACGGTCTCCATCAAGACCAAGAAAAAGAACTAAAACATTACAAAATACTTCACTTGACATGTGAAAGATGACTTAAGATCATGAAACATATGACACCATATTTGATAAAAACATCAGCTCCCCAGGTCCAGCCGCATGGTCTTCTGCAGACTGGCTATGCTCGCATCCAGAGCGGCCAGGCCGTCTCTGAAAGCGACCTCGTCTCTGGTGTCAAAGCTGGACCCCGACCTGGTGCTCCAATCAGAACACAGCGACTCCACGTGACAGCGGGACAGACGGCTGCGCTCCTCCACACAGGACTGGACTCCATCTGAACCATGGGACGGGTCCTTGTCCCCTCTCTGAGGTCCAACAGCAGGATGTGATGATGTGTCTCTCAATGTCTTTCCTTCTCTCTCTGCAGACACACACACAGGCTGACCCAGAGACATCAGGAACTGGCTGATGCGGTCTGTGGGGGGCTCTGCTGGATCTGGTCTGTGCTGGTGTTGGTTACAATGTTGTTCACACTGAAGAATCCTGAAGCAGACAGAGAGGAGAAGTCAAGGTGACTCTCTCACAATGATGTGCTACATTCACAAGGAGTTCCTTCACAACTATTATTATATACTTACTGTTTCTGCTCTACTCAAAGCTTCAGCACTCTCCTCTGGAGAGACACAGACATACAGATGTACAGAGACACGAAGACACAGACGTACAGAGACACAGACGGACAGAGACACAGACGGACAGAGACAGAGACGTACAGAGACACAGACGGACAGAGACACGAAAACACAGACGGACAGACATACAGAGACACAGACGTACAGAGACACAGATGCGAAAACACAGACGGACAGAGACACAGACGTACAGAGACACAGACACGAAGACACAGACGGACAGAGACACAGACGTACAGAGACACACACACACACACACACACCTACCTGTTCAGGTTTCCTATGTCTTCCAGTCTTTGCTGGGCGAGTGAAGCCATCTCACTCTTCTCTCGCTTACTGTCCAGCAACCTGCTTCTGGTGGCCTCCAAGTCTACACGCACGCACGCACGCACACACACAATCTGTCTTCACTAACATATCTACATTATAGGATGATACAGACATGTGATTGGTCTACAGCTGGCTCAGAGCCAGACTGATCTCTGTGAGTGAGACTGAATGATGTGTCTACACAGTAGATGTGAACCTGTTTGGAGGAGAGCATTCTTTGCCTCTCTGTCTGTCAGCCGGCTCCGTGTGTCCTCTAGGGCGTTCCGTAGTCCTGCGAGGTCCTCCTGGAGGTCCTGCAGCCGTGACTGAGCAGTGCCGAGCTCCTCCTGCAGAGTCCACACTGTGGAGACACACAGGACTCAATCTAGTCCCGTCCCTTTAGTCCCGACGGAGGACTTCAGTGAGAACAACAGAACTGTACCTTCTGGGTTACAGAGCATCTCCAGGTTCTGATGAGACTCTGCTGTCCCCCTCTGCTTCAACTGCTGGTTCAGAGTCCTCACACGCCTGGGACACACACACACACAATATAAATATAAATATAAATATATGTGTATATACAGTCATGGCCATAAGTATTTGGACGGTGACACAATTTTTCTAATTTTGCCTCTTTACATGACTCCAATGGATTTCAAACTAATCAGTCAACATGTGGATGAAGTGAAGACTTTCAGCTTTAATTCAATGAATAAAACAAAAAAAAATCACATTAAGCGTTTAGGAATTACAGCCACAGTCATACACAGTCATCCACATTTTGAGAGGCTCAAAAGTAATTGGACAATTGTCTGACAAACGCTTTCATGGCCAGATGTGTCCTGTTCTGTCACTATTTCATGACAAATGATGCCGACAACAGGATTCAAAATGTTGTATTTGCAGTTGGTAGCTGGTCCTTGGAACTCTCAGCATGCGGACCAAAAAGGTGTCGATGCAAGTGAAGGAGAACATTGTTAGGTTAAAAAAATTGGTGTACCTTGGTGAAGAAAAAACACTTCATAACATCTACTGAAGTCAAGAACACTCTGGAGGAGGTAGGCGCGTGAAGTCTACAATCAAGAGACGCCTTCATGAATCTAAATACATAGGGTTTACAACAAGTTGCAAACCACTGGTAACACTGAAGAACAGGAAGGCCAGATTAGACTTTAACAGAAAACATCTGACAAAGACTGACCAGTTTCGGAAAAAGATTCTTTGGACAGATGAAACCAAGATGAACTTGTACCAGAATGATGGAAGAGAGAAGTGCGGAGAAGGAAAGGAACGGCTCATGATCCAAAACAAACCACATCATCTGTCTAACATGGTGGAGGCAGTGCTTTGGATGGGCATGTGTGGCTGCCAATGGAACTGGGTCACTGCTGGTGTTCATTGGTGATGTCACAGCTGATAGAAGCAGCAGGATGAGTTCTGAGGTGTTTAAACTATCTGCTCAGATTCAGCCTAATGCTACAAAACTGATGGGACGGCGCCTCACAGTGCAGATGAATAACGACCTAAAACATACTGTGAACACAACCCAAGAGCTTCTCAAGGCAAAAGAATGTAATATTCTTCAATGGCCAAGTCAGTCACCTGATCTCAACCCAAGTGAGCAGCTTTTCATTGACTGAAGGTAAAACTGAGGGCAGAAAGACCCACAAACAGCAGCAGCTGAAGGAGGCTGCAGTGAAAGGTCTGGCAAAGCATCTCAAAGGAGGAAACTCAGCATTTAGTGATGTTTATGAGCCAGACTTCAGGCAGTCATTGACTGCAAAGGATTTTCCTCCAAGTATTAAAGCTAATGATTATATTCACAATTATGTTAGTTTGTCCAATTAATTTTGAGCCTCTGAAAATGTGGATGACTGTGTAGAAGTGGCTGTAATTCCTAAACAGTTAATGTGATATTTTAGTTTTATCCATTGAATTAAAGCTGAAAGTCTAAACTTCAACCACATGTTAACTGATTAGTTTCAAATCCATTGGAGTCGTGTAAAGGGGCAAAATTAGAAAAATTGTGTCACAGTCCAAATACTTATGGCCCTGACTGTATACTATACTGTAACTTCACTATGTTGGTGATTCTATTACACTTCTGATCCCTCTTCCTGACACCTCCTCCATTTCCCCTGTTAAAGGGTTTGTGGGAGTTTTTCTAAACGGAATGGGGTCTCAGGACAGGGGGGGTCGTCTGCTGTACGGATTGTGAAGCCCCTTGATTTGTGATATTGGGCTATAGAAATAAAATGGACTTAAGTTTATTTTCATTGTAGCCCACTGGTGTGGATGCACACAGACATCAGCTGGTGAGGGTCTCTGTTCAGGTACCTGCGGAGCTGAGTGTTCTGCATGTGATGGGATGGTTGTTGTGGTTCAGTCCGGATGTTTGAACTACCAGCATCCATCAGTGGTGAAGACACCGTCTGCTCCAGATGACTGAGCAGCCTCTCTGCTACACTGCCTGCGCGCGCACACACACACACACACACACACACACACACACACACACACACACAC